GTGTTAAGATTTTATGTGAAAATTTGAATTTTTTTAAAATTTTAATATGTTTTATAATATATATTATAGCATTGTATATTAAATTTTATCTCAATTGACCTAACTAATCCTAAATAAAGTAAGGTTTCAATACGATTGATATATTGATAATTATTTTTATTTTACTCAATGATTGATAAGTGAAATTTTAATTAAATTAATTTTAAAAAATTTAATTTTCAAACATCACTTAAAAAAATAATTTCAATTACAAAATTATAGAAAAACAAATAGAACTTTAATTATTTATATTCTTTTTTTTTATTATTTTTTCTTAAAGTTAGAATAACAAATCTTAAAAATATACAAAAAATTTTAAAATTCTATAATGGTGCATGAGCGATGAAAAAATAAATTTAGTAAATTTTAAGATGATATTTAATTCAAGTATACATATATCAAATATTTATTTATTAATTTTTTTAAAAAAAATTAATCACGTGCAACGCATGTGGTGCATTGTTAATATAATAAATGGGATTAAACATAAAAGCTCATAAAAATAATATGTATAATAAATGTGTGCATTTAGCGGCGCAGGGTTGGGTTTGAGAATTTCAAAACAGTGACCTCCAATAAAATGTAAAAATGCATACACGTGACCATTTGCACACCGACTATTCCATGTAGAATTTGGTGAACCGGATGATTTTATGAGTCACTAAAAAAGAAAGGCCATCGTAACGTCAATGGCGGAAAACTGCACATCATTGAAACTAATAAGAATGGGATATTGAATGGATTTGCTCCTATCGTGACATCCCAGGTAGGCCCGTCATTAGAGCAGATTGTAATCTTAATTCGATTTGATTGGAGTTCATTTAATTAGATATAGATGAATATTTTAATTTATTTATTTGAATCCGATTGAATTTTTTTAAATGGATTTGATTTTGATACATGTAAATCCGATCTAGTACATATATATAGTACGTCATTACCCATGCCTGAAGGCACTCTTAATACAAAAAACTCACCAAGCAAATGGGACATCTAAGAATGTCTTAAATAAAAGAAGTTCAAGGGTTAAAATAAAAAAGAATCATATAACATTAACACAATCCGAGAATTTTGATAAACTTAAACTAACACCGTTACAAAGTTATCATGTCATACATTTCTTCATGGCGACTCTTATCTCCACCAAATGAGTATTTATTTTTTCAACCTCTGATAAAATCTAATGAATAAGCTATTGAGTTTTAATAAAGAATATCATTAAGAACCTAATTAAATCACTGAATTCAATCAAACGAATCAGCCACATTGAACTACAAATCAAATTTTCAAAATATAGAAAAAAAAATCCAACTGAACTAACATTGCTCAGTGAATCTACTTGTAGCTGCGAGAATAATTAATTTAAATTCTCTGTCGTTGTAACTTCTCGGATGCTACAAAAATATTCTCACGTTGCAATTAAACTAAATCAATAAAATCAAAAAGTCATCACTTCAAAAAAAAAAATTGATTTAACTAACATTTTGTCATTTTGGTGTCTATTTTGCATTATTCAAGTATTTAAAAAAATATGAACATTAGCAAGAGAAGAGTGATGCAAATAAAAAAAAATTATAGTTAGTTTTGAATATTTTTATTTTGGTGTAATTGGTTTCACTTATTTTTTTTATTTGTCGTTGTTATTTTTTTATTAGTAATTAGCTTGACTTTGAATTTTTGTTATTTTTTAATTGGTAATTCGCTTGACTTTGAATGTCTACAATCTGAAATTTTTCGTTAACATTTAAATATTTTCTCATTTATAAAATCATACAAATGTTTTGAGTAAAGAAGTCGAATTAGGATCGTTAAAACGAAAAAATGCTAAGAGAGAAAGAGAGAATATGAGAGAGAGAGAGAGAGAGGTAGAAATATAATGAAAGTTTAATTAGGATTGTTAAGACTAATAATGCTAAGAGAGAGAGAGAGAGATTATAATATATATATCACGTATAAGAGTTGAGAAAATGTGTCTAAAACGTGAGAGAGAGAGAAAGAGTTATATACATATAATAGTTGAGTGTATGAGATATAGAGAGATGGAGAGTTATATGAGAAATGTGAGTATTAGAGTTATAAAAGAAATAAAAGTCCAATTAGGATCGTCGGATCAATAATTCTCAAACGATCTGAGCTGCAAAAAGTTCAAGACAAATAAAATTAGCTACTTTATTATATAGATTAGTCATTACCCGTGCCTAAAGGCACTCTTAACACAAAAAATTCGTCAAACAAATGGGACATCCAATAATGTCTTAAATAAAAGAAGTGCAAGGGTTAAAATGTAGAAGAATCATATACATTACGACAATCTGAGAATCCACATGAAGTTAAATTAACACCATTACAAAATTATCTTGTCATACATTTCTTCATAGTGACTATTTTTTTCAATGAGTGTTCAATTTTTCAACATCTAGCTAAATCTAATGAATATGTTATCTAGTTCACATTGAACTACAAATTAAATTTCTAAAAAATAGAAAAAAAAACACAACTTAATTAACATTGTCCAGAGGATTTATGTGTAATTGCGAGGATAATTGATTTAAATTCTATGCTGATGTGACTTTTTGGATACTACAAAAATATTCTTACGCTGCAATTAAACCAAATCAACAATATAAAATTTTCATCACTTTAAAAAAAATTGTTTTAACTGACTTTTTTTGTCGTTTCAATGTCTATTTTGCACTATTCAAGTATTCAAAAAAAAAATATTAACATTAGTAAGGGGAAAGTGATGCAAATAAAAAAAAATTGATAGTTGATTTTGAATATTTTTTTTGTACAATTAGTTTCACTTATTTTTTTTATTGGTCATTGTTATTTTTTTTATTGGTAATTAGTTTGACTTTAAATTGTTTAGTTTTTTTTGTGTAATTTGTATAATTTGTTATTTTTAATTGGTGATTAACTTGACTTTGAATTTTTTTTTTTGTTTTTTTGGTGCAATTGGTATCACTTGTTATTTTTTATTGATGATTAACTTTGCTTTGAATATCTATAAGTGAGAATTTTTTTTTTAACATTTAAATATTTTTTGATCTATAGAATTATACAAATATTTTGAGTAAGTCCAATTAGGATCATCAAGACAAACAATGCTAAGAGAAAGAGTGAGTTTGAGACATCATTGTTTGTCTTAACGATCCTAATTAGACTTTCATTTTATCTCTCTCTCTCTCTCTCTATGTATGTATGTATGTATGAGAGTTAAGTGTATGAGATAGAGAGAGAGAGTTTTATGAGAGATAGGAGTTTTAGAGTTTTAAAAGGAATGAAAGTTCAATTAAGATTATCGAATCAATAATCTTCAAATGATTTGAGCTACAAAATCCTAATTAAACTTTCATTATATCTCTATTTATATATATATATATATATAGAGAGAGAGAGAGAGATACTATGAGAGATGAGAGAATATGTGTTTAAAATATCTATAAGAGAGAGAAAAAGTATATACGTATGAGAGTTGGGTGTATAAGATAAAGAGAGAGAGAAAGAGAGAGAGTTATATGAGAGATAAAAATTTCAGAGTTTTAAAAGGAATGAAAGTTCAATTAGGATTGTCGGATCAATAATTCTCAAACGATCTGAACCGTCAAAAGTTCAAGACAAACAAAACTAACTACTTTATTATATATATATATATAATTAATTAAGAGAAATTATTATATATATACATACTTAGTTAGATTATTAATAAAATTGACATCAAATTAAACAAAAATTATTGAATATAATGATTTGTTGATTAAATTATGTTAAAAATTAAATTAAATTGGATAAAATTATTAATTTTTATGAAATTTTGTTGGGATTCAAATTTTCAGATCGGATTAAATAATCGGATCGAATTTGTATTTCGAATTCTGGACAGACAATCCGTTGACAACCTTAATCACAAATTTGAGACACACATATATAGGCCAAAATATCAAAATTGCAGTTAAGGTAGGGTCCTATACACCTTTCAACCCTTCGTCATAAAAATCAGTAATTTAAAACGGAATTTCATTGCACCCTTTTGATTGCATTCAATTGGACCAATCAATTAATTTCAAGTAACAAAATAGAAAGAAAAAATATTGACCCATCCGAGGGAATGTGGGTTAAAACTTGTAACAGTGCTAAAAATTTTTGTTCCAACTGACCAATAAATTTTATTGCCATAATTAGCAAACGGATTTGACGTCTTTCCGATTCTTTTTAATCCAATCATCTACCATAAAACATAGAAAATTCATTTGAATATAATGAATTCCACACCAATTCGTGGCATAAATTCTTTTGGAAAGTAATACTGAATCATCACAACGTATTTTTGTACTTGAAAATTGCACATACTTTAAAAGTGGGTGAGATAAAAATGAGAATAAGACTATTTGTCACTTATTTCTTCAAAATCTTATTATACGATTTTTTTTTAAAAAAAATTGAAAAAAAAAATCAAAACGCCATCAAACATCTCTTTAGACAATTACTATCTTCATTTTTTGGGTGTCTTTCATTCATTTTTTGGGTGTCTTTCGAACTAAACATGTGAGACAAAGCAAATTATCATATTCAAGACCACAAATACATGAGCAGATAAAGCCACAACAAAATATATTATTTTTTGAAAGTATTTAATTACAACATATATATACCTCCATTAGAAATCTCCCAATCATTATTTAAAAATTGAATAAATAAACCCTCAACGGGGAGGTATAGATTCGCCAAATGCTCATCTTCCCTATCTTTACATCTTTACATTTCTCTATAATAGTGTTGGACAATTAAAAAAAAAAAAAAAAATATTATTTGAACCTAATTCAATATAATCATTGGATTAATTGTGAGTTCTATTTAATATTATAACTCACAATTAATCTAATAATTACATTAAAGTCACATTATTAGATTTTCAAACAAAATCACCGTACCATTGCTAAAAAAAATAGCTAAAAAAAATACCCTCAACGTGGCCGCAATTGTGACGTTGACATGGAAAATGACGATGAACTCCCTGACAAAGTCTTCCCAAAAAACAAATCTGACAAGTAGTTCCCCACATCCTCAGGGGTATATTTGACCTCAAGAGCCAAATCTCTCTCTCTTCCAATCACAAGCCTATGAACACCATAGAACTCCCGATACACCCCAACAAGCTTTCTGGCTAGAGAAACTTTGATTTCGTCCCGGAGCTTACAATCAGGTACGATGCACACAAACTGCTTCTTGTACGCCTGATCAAACAACGAATTAAATCTCTTAAAACACTCCTTCACATCCTCCGGCGACTTTACAGCCGTCGGATCCTCCGGGAGGGAACCTACGACGCGGCTCCATGCTATCCGTTCGTAGTTCAGTGCAAACTGTTTGACTTTTGTTTCGTGCTTGGTTAACCAATCGTCGCCGAGTAAATACTTCATGTTGGATTTACGGACTTTAGAAACGATGTAGTTTAAGTTGTTGGCTAAGAAGAGGTATGAGAGCGAATCGTCTTTGTAGTGCTTTGCCTTGCCGTCGAGTTTGCAGAGTAAAACGAGTATCAGCCACGCGAATCGGAGAGAAATCGCCGGTAACGGAAAGTCTTCGGAATCGGACACGTCGAAGTACGACTCAGGCAAAGAAGATTTCACAGGCAGTGGTAAATCTGCTAGAATATCCGCCAGTATATTGCTGTAATCGCCGAGGAGAGAGAGGTAGTGCATCGCATCAGTCGTTAAAGCATGAATTCCAGCTCCGGCGACCAGTGATTTTGAAGAATTCTTCTGAATCGCAGATTCGAACTCGATTAACGATGTCCTTACAGATTCGCTGAGCTTGACGAGTGATGTCAGTGCTTGAGATCGAATGTCGGAGGTTGATTCGAAGGAGAAGATGGACTCGATCTCCGGCCAGTGATTGGCAATGGTTGTGTACATGTCGAGAGTCCGGAAAACTCTTTCCGGCGATTTCTTGCTGTTTCTAGCCACATTTTCCGGGAATTCAAACAGGATTGACGCTCCTTCTTTAATTATCTCAGTATAAACTGACCCTCTGATTAATTCCGAGGATGCAAAGACGTGATCGCAAAGAATTCTCTCTCCATTGAAGAGAGTTTTAATCGCAATCCTCACAGCATTTAACCAATTCTTGATTCTCTGCTCCAAAACCTCCCAATCCATCTTACGTAGGTGTGAAGAGCTCAATTTCTCAACTCCGAGTCTGTATATGCCTTCATCAACTATCGATTTCCTTATAATTTTGTATATCTTCACGCATTCTTTACCATATCCAGATGAAATCATACATTCAGCAATTGATCTCAAATCCACCATGGCCATATTCGAAACATCTTCAACTTCTGAGATGGAATCGCCAGCAATTTTAATATCATCTTCGGGTCCAATATCACCGTCTTCGTCTTCGTAGTCGGATGTGCTCGATCGAGTTGAAGCAACCGACGATCGAGCTGAGACCAACTCAGGATCCAGATAAGCTCGGTTCATGGAGAGAATTTGATAGAACTCTTTTTGGAGTCGTTTCATTGCGATTTGCATCAAGTTTTGGGCACGAACGAGCTTTTCTGAGCCGGAGTTCTCAGAGGCTAAAAAGTGCATGGCCCTTTGCAAATCGTTGACGTTCTTGATGAAATCATTGGCCTCACCACGGTTCTCATAGAAGAGAGAAGTGACGTTTGCGAATGTTGAAGTATCTGGGTTCCATTTCATGATTATGGAGCCGGCGACTTCCAGAGTTCGATCCATAATCGCGTCGGAGAACAAACGCCGGGGAGTTGAATTTGGAAGTTCGGTTCTGGAAGGCGAAAGGAAGTTGGAACTAGAAGGAGATCTTTTCGGGGAAAATAAAAGGTTCCTCATTCCTTTATACGGCATGGCAATGCAGAGATCAAAGCTGGTTTAATTTCTTCAAGAAAATATACAGAAAGGAGAAGAACTGATCGATCAGGTAATTAAGCTTCTCTCTTGGTGTTTTTGTATATATGTGCAGAATGTGGTGGAGTTGGGTTGATTCTGTGGATAATTGTGTGAGTTCTTTGACTTCTGTTGGTAGGTTGTGGGGAGAGGAGTGTGATATATATAGACCATAGGGTGGAGAGATGGAGGAAAGAGGCCGCAGATAGGAAACTTGTGGCGGAAGGTGGTGGGCCTGGACTTTTTTTACGCGTTGCAGGTAGGTAATTTCGTGGCCACCAAAAAAAAAAACAGTAAGTCATACTTTCTCAATAATTTTTCTCACTGCTGATTTCTTGGAAAGTTAATTTGTCTTGTATATCCATTTCACACGAATTAATTAAACATACATTTCATTGACAATTCGTCTATGCCCACAAAAAATTTGTACTAAATCACTTGTAATTGTTACATCAGTGAGTCCGTCATTGATGCAACGATTACAATTAATTTAATACAAATTTTAGTGCATCAATTATCCAATAATAAAATAAAGTAATATTACGTTTATCAATTTTTTTATAAAATTTGTTGTGATATAATTTTTATCATTAAATATTAATGATTCTCACTTATTTGATGGTGAAAATACTGTTACATCCATAATAGTGTTGAATAAAATAATTATACTATTGCAACTTAATTTGTTGATGTAATTTGTTAATTTAATCAATCACAAACATTAAATTGATAAAAGGGTCTCAACAAAAATCGGAACTCATGTCAATTCAATGATAGTGAGTGATTGGATTAGTAAATTATGTCCAAGTAACATCGCTCTGAAAAAAATATTATTTGAACTTAATTTAGAGACTGAGATCTAATCAATTATAATTATTAGATTAAAAGTAGACGTTATCTAACATTGAAACGCATAGCTAAACTAATTATTGTATTGAATTAAGTTTTTATATAACATTGCTCCAAGAAAGCATTGTCAATTTTTCCTATAAATAGCATAGAATTGATGCAAAGTTAATAAATATTGGTTAAATTTTAGTAAGAAATAAATAATAAACTAGGTAACACAATAAATTTATTTAATAATAGTATTGATGCAAAGACAGTTAAACACGGATTATATAGAATTGATTTGATATAATACAAGTTCAACTACATACTTATAAATAAATTAGACATAACCACCAACTAGGGTGGTCTAGTGGGGTACCGGTCTTACTATTCACCTTGAGGTTGAGAGTTCGAATCTTGGAGTCCCCATTAGGGCTTGATGATTTACAAATTTGAACAAATTTGAACAAATTTGTTATGACATAATTTATGTAATTAAAAATAAGATATAACATGACTATTTGGTAATTCGACCTAGACATGAAACACACAAAGGGAGGTTGAATGTATTGTTGGTGCATCTGTACTTATATGTTGATGGTAATGGGTTCACTGAATATACTTTTCAATGCACTACTGGTCAGCAGTTACGTTTGCTTACATTTTATATCACACTAAATAGCTTTCATTGAATGTTATTTTGATGTTTTCCTATGGCTTTGTATTTTGAATTGAGTAAATGCTATTTGAATTTAAATTATTGACTTAATATGTTGATCTAATTTATTATTATCCTTACATTGACTGTGAATTCCATCAAATATTAAAAATTAACATTAATTTAACAGTAAAATGAAATCATATCATTAGATCAACAAATTAAATCAAAATTTTAAGTTTAAATAGTATTACTTTTTAGAATTTTCTTTTACAACCTAATTCACTAATCTTTGCTTTTCATAATTTGATTGTTTTAGATTGAAATTCTCTATATCACAAATTTTTGGACAGTTAGTTCTTATATAAGCTTAGAGTATGTAAATTGTTTTTGGTTACAGAATGTTCAAACATTCGTTGACTTTTCACTTGAGTTCGAATATTAGTTACCATAGACCGAATGAGTTTAATAAAACATAACATTGTTGCATGTCACTCAACCTATTTTTGTTGCCTTCATAATTAGAGTTTGTTTATTAATTTGTGACAGTGAAATAGTAAGAATAAAAGACAATAGTGCCAATTCATTAGTCAGCACTCTTTGGCAAGTAAAAAGGTCCCACAATGTGTAAAAGCATACAATTTCGTCAGCAGATATGTCTGATCATCATCAAATATTCCATCCATGAAATCAGGTATGACGAATATATTCTCAGACGCCACTTCCCCTGAATTCTTTACCCACCTATTTAACTTTCTTTCGCAAGCTTCATTGTCAACTTCTCTGTGTCTTCTTCCTCCTGTTTCATTTATGATTAGAACCGAAATATCATATTTTTAAATAATATTTTTAATTAATGGTTACAAATCATTTAAGCTAGAATCAACGATTTTAAATCAATTACCAATACTGTATTTGATGGTGCATTTCAACGTGATGCAATTTTGTGACGACGAGTAAATAAAAGAAACAATCTTAGAATTATTGGATCTGAGCTATTGGACTTGAGGGAGTGATACTGAGAGTTGTTAGGGAGTTGGGGAATTAACACAGTAGAAATATAGTGGTTCACCAACTCAAGAGCTCGGTTAATCCACTCTTCAATAAAGATTCTTGTTTCTTCTTTCATTATTTACTATATCAAAAAGGGTTACAGAATATACGATGTGATACTAGGGTTCTTGCCCCTCTGTTGGGGGCGTTACATAGTATTTATAGGGGTATCCCTTAATCTATGAGATCTGATTCGTGATCCTTGTCATCTATCCGAGGAATTCTCCTTAGTCTTAGGAGAGTATCTTGGTTGGTTGAGAATTTTGTGCCTTGAGTGTTATTTCAAACTGCATTTCGAGTTCTTTGTAGTATCCAGTTACTTCCTCCCTGCTTCAGCTTATTATCTCGCTTTGAGGGGGAGCTCTAGCTCTGGTTTTCTGAGCTCTGCATAGCTCTGACCTTCTGAGCTCAGCTTACCTGACCTCTGTTCTCGAGCTCCAGCTCGGCAATCATTCTGAGTATCATCAATTGCCCCCTAGCTTTTGGCCGAGCTGGCTCGGGCAAGGGCTAAACTTAGGATGTAACAGTGATGGCTTCCCAATCAGTTTACGCAGGAATATATATATTTATTATTATTATTATTATTTATTTTTAAACGGTTGTCAGTAATCATTTCCTTCCTCGTTCCTTGCGCACGTTGCCCGTTTCGAGGCCCAAGGTACCGTTAGCTCTAAATACCCCTGGATCACCGATTTGCTCCTCACTCTACAGATCCGTTTCGGCTTCCTTATCCTTTCACTACTTCATCTTCCCCATTCTGTCGCTGGTTTTAGGGTTTTCTCTGAGGGACGGTTATCCTAGTTTCGACTTGGAGGCTTAGCATGATTTGGTTCCAAATCCCCTCCTCGAGCTTTAATCTGTCACCAATTCGCGGTTAGGTACGTTTTTCCTTTCTTTCCCACTCCTTGCCTTGGATCCCTCAAGTCTGAGGTGGTTTTGGCATTTTTGGGCCTTTTGATTCTGCTACGCTAGGAGTCGAAGTATTCCCCTGTCTCATCTTCCTCTCTTCTTGGACCTTTACTCCACAGTTAGGATTTTCGCCATCGATTTTCGGTGTCTTGCTCCTTGGGCTCTCAAATAGTGTTTCTCTGAGGTCCCCCCCTCTTTATAGGTCTTTTAAGCTTTCTTATTCTTGTCTAGCTATGTCTGTTTCCTCTGAAGCTATGGGATCATCTGTTTCACTAATGAAAGACGGGTTCGTTGAGGAAGATTCTGACCTGGGGGATGTGGGGTTAGAGATAGATGATTTTCCCGAGTGGACTCTGTCAATGTTGAGGGAGGCACTGAGGAGCCTCCTCCTCCTGCCCTGAAATCTCCCAGCAAAGGCAAAACCAAAGTAAGTGGTGTAGGGATTTCAGGCAGTGCTGAGGGTGGTGTTGCTGCCCCCAGGGCCTCCGAGCTCGTGGGGTGTAGTGGCATCGTTCTTTCTTACATGAGGTGCTGGTTGCCCGCTTTGGGTTTCCTTAAGGCCTCCATTCTAGAGTCTGGACACGTTTACCTTATACGATTCCTCTATCCCTAAATGGTATGCTTCTCTTGGCTACTTTTGAGAACGGCCTCTGCTTTCCTCTACATCCTTTCATCAAAAATATTTTGCAACATTTCAATGTTTGCCCTGCCCAGCTTTATCCTAACTTTTGGGGGTGCTGGTTGGTCTTCTTGTCTTCTTTCAGAAACATGATTCTGGTGTCCCTACCGTGTCTTTGCTCATGAAATTCTTCAATGTCAAATATCTCCCCACTGATGGCTTTTTTGTACATCTCCAAACGAGTGAAAACCACGGTTCTTATCTTCGATCTCCCGAGCTCCCACAAGCACTGAAAAAAATGCCGCAACAACCAGGTCCTAAGGACTTGGCGAACTGCAAATTGGAGAAGTATTCAGAGCTAATCTGACCTCAAGTCCTTGTGGGCTTTGGGTTTAGTCCTCTGAAGTGAGGGTAGAAAATTTGTCATCTCTTTCTTTCTGCCATTAGTGCTGAGGAATTGGCAGGGTATTGTCCCTTTCATCTCTGTCCCTGCCTGTTTACCTCTTCTCCTTCTCCTTTTTTTTTTTCTTTTTTTTTAACGGTTCTTTCCGATTTTTCAGGTTCTTCCTTAATGGAGCCTACTGGCGAAGGATCGCTCTAATAAATTATCTATGATGAGGAGGACTCGAGCTGGAAGCAAACGTAAGGTTAGGTTAGCCCAGGGGTGATCCAACTGTAAAAGTCAAGCTCCGAGACTAGAATTGTTCTCTGTACTCAAATGGGCCCCAATCCTCTTTTGGCTTTTCGAGATTGTAAGGAGCTCATTTCTTCAGAAAATGGGATTACCCTCCTCTAGTAAGGTCCTTGACCTAAGCTTGGTCTCCACTCTTCCTTCTATAGGTGAGGTCGAAGAAACCTTTAGAGATGGTTTCTCCCCTCTTGCCTGGAGTCCGTCCTCCTTGCCCAGCTGTGGGGCTTCCTCATAAGGCTCCTGGGATATGTAAGCATGAAAAAGGGGGGAATGCAGAAGCAAGTTCGGGTTCTTTGATTGATAACGTGAAAAGAGCTGCAGAGGCCAT